AGCTTTAGTGTCAACTTGACACACCTGGATTGAGGGAGCCTCAACTGGGGAATTTCCTCTATTGGACTGGCCTGTGGCCATGTCCGAGGGGCATCTTCTTGATGAGTGATGTGGAAGGGCCCAGCCCACTGTGGGTGGTGCCACCCCTGGGCAGGTGGGCCTGTATTGCATAAGAAAGCAGGCTGAGCAGGGGCCAGAGAGTAAGCCAGTAAGCAGCGTTCTTCTGTGGTCTGTGCTCCAGCTCCTGCCTCCAGGTTCCTGCCCTGAGTTCCTACTTTGGGCTCTGGATGAACTGTGACCCAGGATATGTAAGCTAAATAAACCCTTTCCTCCCCAAGTTGGTAGTAGTCAGAGTATTCTGTCACAGCAATGAAGAAACAAACTAAGACACCTCTCCTGGTCTATCCTAGTGCAAAGCCTCTTCACGATCCCTTCACATCTTCAACACCAGAACCACCTAGGAGACTTACACACATTGCCAGGTTCGGCTGCTAGTTCAATGTGCAGCTGTGGCCCCCTCTGGACCATAGCTTCTGTATGCTGACCCTAAGGAAATACTTCCCATAATATTTCACTCAGTGATGCTGGCTTCTTGTTACTTACAGCTGACTTTTCAGTCCCCAGCTGACCAGCATTGATTAGCCCAGTAAAGCACAAAAGGTTTCACTTCTAAAAATTCCTAATTTAAAATATATCACACAAACAGCCCTGGTAGAGTCTTGTCTTCCCTTTGAAACTTCACAAGCCAGGTCTCCATTATCTACATCTCTTTCAGCCTTATTTTCAAAGTTCCTACAAACAGCTCACTGAGTTCCAAGCACTTTTCCAGTTCAAAGCTCCAAAAACTTCCACAATCCTCCAAGACACATTATGGTCATGAGTGTAAGTCTCCTAGGTGGTTAGCTGTTCCTTAAAAGTTTGGTAGAATTTGAGGATGAATCTGGCCAGTCACAGTCTCTTAACTGTGGGCAAACTTTATTATTTCTTCAATCTCTGCTTGTTATGGATCTGTTTAGGTTGTTTATCTCATCTTGTTTTAATTTTAGTAGATCATATGTATCCAGGAACTTATCCATTTCTTCCAGATTTCCCATGGTTTTAGAATATACCTTTTCCAAGTACTCCCTAGTGATTCTCTGTATTTCACTGGAATCTCTTAGACTATCTTCCTCTTCACCTCCAGTTTTATTAATTTGGGTCTTCTCTCTCTCTCTCTCTCTCTCTCTCTCTCTCTCTCTCTCTCTTTCAGAAGAGTTATGGACAGTTGTTAGCCACCATGTGGGTGCTGGGAATCAAGCCTGGAAGAACAGCAAGTGTCAAAGAACCAATTTTTGTTTGACTGTCTGTATACTGTTCTTTTATTTTCCATTTTGGTCATTTCTGCCTTGATATTTATCATTTATTGTACCTACTGCTTTTGGGTTTAGCTTATTCTTGCTTTTCTAAGACTTGAAGTACATCCTTGGGCTATTTATGATTCTGATTGTTTAATGTAAGCACTCACAGCTGTCAACTTTCCTGTAGAACAGCCTTAGGTATTGTGTTGGGTTTGATTGAGAAGCGTCTCCTACAGGTTCAAGAATTTGAACACTTGGTATATGGTCCCCAGTTGATTGAGCCGTTTGGGGAAGGTCATGAACATTAGACTATATGACTTTGCTGGAGGAAGCACGTCACTAAGCACGTCACTAGGGGTGGGCTTTGAGAGTTCATTGCTTCCACCCTCTTCCAGGTGTGCTCTCTGCTTCCTGTTTTCCATTGAAGATGTGAGCGCTCAGCTTTTGGCTTCTGCCATGCCTCTCCAATATGAGGGACTCTTATCTCTCTAGAGCCATAAGACCAAATAAACTCCTTCTTCTGTAAGTTGCCTTATGGTGTTTATCATAGCAACAGAAAAGTAACTAATACAGATGTATCCCACATGTTCTAATAAATTGTGATTTCTTTTTCATTTAATTCTAGGATATTTGTAATTTCCTCCCTTATTTTTCAAAACCCACTGGTCATTTTAGCATATAGTGATTGATATCTAAGTATTTGTGTGCTTTCTATAGTTTATCTGGCTATCGATTTCTAGCTTTATTCCACTATGATTTAATAAAATACAGGAAAGTATTTTGACTTTTTGTATATGTTAAGAGATGCTTTGTAGCCTAAAATGTGACCTATTTTAGAGAAGGTTCCATGGGTTGCTAAGAAGAATGTGTATTGAATATTCTGTAGATGTCTGTTAAGTCCATTTGGTCCATGGTCTAGTTTAACACTGAAGTTTCTTTGTTGAATTTGGTTCAGATGATATATTTAAAGATTAAAGTAGTGTATTGAAGTCAGCCATTATTATTGTTTGGGGAACCATGTAAAATTTATGATAACTGATTTTTTTATGAAGTTGGGAGTGCAAATATCTTCTTGATGGATTGTTAACTTTCTAATATATAATATCCATTTTAATCTCTTCTAATTTTTGTTTGTAATCTTTACCACATAGCTAAGTAGCTTTTTTTCAGTTTCCACTCGCTTGCTAGATTGACTTTGATCTTTTGAATTTCAATCTGGGTATGTCTTTAACAGTGAGATGTGTTACTTGGAGAGAACATATAGCTATATCTAGTTTTTTAATCCAGTCAGTCCATCAGCATCTCTTTATTGGTGAGTTGAGGTTTTTTTTACACTTACGGTTATTTTGAGAGATGTTTACTAATCCCTGTGATTTATTGGTTGTTTTCTTGGGTGGTTGGATTATTGTTTTCTCTGTCCCCCTTACTAGTATCAGAAGTTTGCTGGTTTGTTATGCTGGAAATGATATGTTCCTTCTTAACTTCTTTGCTCATCTATCCCCTTCATGAAATTTATTCTTTCCTATTCTCTCATAATTGAGACTGTCTTTCTCCTACATCTGTGTATAGTATTATAGTAATTATAATAATGGATAGAATTATAGTGATGGATATTTAGTGTCTATTAATTATCTTCACAGTGCTGGCTTGATCAGCATGTGCCACTTTAGTTTGTGCATGTCTTGAAATATCTTTATTTCACTATCAGTTTTATTTTTTCAAGATTTATTTTATTTTTATTTATTATGTATGTGCCTGTGTCTGTGTATGCCACATGTGTGTTGGTACCTGTGGAGGCAAGAAGAGTGTTAGATCCCTTGGTACTGAGGTACATGCAGTTGTGAGCTGCCCAACAAGGATGCTGGGAAGCAAACTTGGGTCCCCTGAAAGAGCAGCAAGTGCTCTCAGCTGCTGAGCCATCTCTCCAGCCCTTCACTGTCCATTTTAAAAGATAGTTTTGCAATATACAGATATCTTGGTAGGCAGTTATTGAATTTCGGGATTTGAAATATATCGTCCCATCTTTTCCTGGCTTTCAGGGCTTCTCTAAGAGATCTGATGTTATTCTGATGTGTTTACCTTTGTATATGAGTTGACATTTTCCCTGACAGCTTTTAATATTGTTTCTTTGTTTTGTATTTTTGACATCCCAAAACTAAACAGATAAACTCTGGTGTTAAATGACACCATAAATCAAATGGATCTAACAGACAACTACAGAACATCCCACTCGAGTACTAGAGATACACTTTCTTCTTAGCAGCCCATAGAACTTTCTCTAAAATCGACCCCATGTTAGACCACAAAGCAAGTCTCAATAAATATAGGAAAACTGAAATAACATCCTGCATTCTATCTTATACGAAGGAATAAGCCTGGATATAAACAGAAACAGAAAGTACACAAATTAATGAAAACTAAACAACACACTACTTAATGAAAATTGGGACAAGGGAGAAATCAAAAAAGAAACTGAAAAATTCCTAGTATTGAAAATTAAATTAAAATACAATAAATTAAAATTAAAATAATTAAAATTAAAATACAAACATACCAAAATTTATGGGACACAATAAAGGTCGTCCTAAGAGGAAAGTTTATAGCACTTAGTGCCTACATCAAAAAATTTGAGAGAGCTTAATGATGTACCTGAAGGCCTTAGAAAAACACGGGGGGAAAAAATCCCTGAAAATAGTAGATGGGAAGAGATCATCAAAATCAGGGCTGAAACTAATGAAATACAAACAAACAAAAAACAATACAAAGAATCAATGAAACAAAGAGATATTTTCTTTGAAAATATTAACAAGATTGACAAACTTTTAGCCAAATTAACCAAAAGAAAAAGAAGACCCAAAGTAATAAAATCAGGAATGAAAAGGAAACCATTACAAAGCACATGGAGGAAGAAATCAGAGAATCATGAGAGCATACTTTCTATTTTTATTTATTTTTTGAGACAGTGTCTCCCTGTACCCCAGCTTGCCTGGAACTTGCTATGTAGATCAGGCTGGCCTTGATCTCATAGAGCTCCACCTGGGATTAAAGGCATGCATCACTACACCCAATATACTTTAAAAAATCTATATTTGACTAACCTGGAAAGTTTAAAAGAAATGAATGCATTTCTAGATATATATGACCTACCAAAGTGTAATCAAGATGAAGTAAATAATTTAAACAGACTCATAACAACCAATGAGATAGAAACAATAATTTAAAAAATCTAACTAAATCAGGTGTGTTGGTGCATGCCTTTAATCCCAGCACTCAGGAGGCAGAGGCAGTGGGATCTGTGTGAGATGAAGGCCAACCTGGTCGTCATAGTGAGTTCCAGCTGGGGTCTCAGAAAACAAAAAAACAAACAAAATCTCCCAACTGACAAAAGCCCAGGACCAGATGGACACGGCATAAAACTCTACCAAGAAGAACTAACACCAATACTCCTCAAATTATTTCATAAAATAGAAAAAGAAGGAACACTTTGGAATTCTTTGTATGAAGCTAGTATTACCAATCCCAAAACCAGTCAAAGGCCCAACAACAACAAAAAGAAAACTACAGGCCAATCTTTCTGATGAATATAGATGCAAAATTTCCCAGTAAAATCCTTGTACACTGAATTCAGGAACACATCAAAAAAGATTATCCACAATGTTGGCTGTTTATTCTTATGGCTTTATATTTATGGGCTGGGGAAAATTCAACAGAGCATCACTTAAATTAGAATGTCACATGGTAGATACAGCATGTTAAATTCCACACTTCAAAACTGTTTTCTACCTCTGCATGGCTGGTGGGTTTGGGGGATACTACTAATAGAGAACCTAATGTAGAAGTTATTAGTAAGCACAGTTTGCTTATTGTCTTTTTTTCAAGAACAGAGACTGGTTCCTCTCCTCTTCAGAGACAGCAAACCTTGGATGACAGCACAGCCTTTGTTAACATTAGTTCAAGTTTCTTTCCTAGCGTCTGGGTTTCCAAATGTGTCCTCATCATTTCCAGCAAGGGAAAACTAGGAAGAAAAATAGAAATGTAATCTCTATTATTTTATTTTAATGTGATGGTCGACTTTTCTGTTCATAGTTATTGAATTTTTTTGTCTTCCTTCATTAAATATTTAATAAATAATAAAACAGACTATCCACCATGATCACATTAGCTTCATCCCAGGAATTCATGAATGGTTCAACATATGTAAATCAATAAATGTAATCCTTCACATAAGTAGATTCAACGACAGAAACCACATGATCATCTCATTAGATGCAGAAAACACTTTTGAAAAAAATTCAACATTTCTTCATGATAAAAATCCTAGAGAATATAGGACTGGAGATATATTTCAGCATAATAAAGGCAAAACACAACAAGCACAAGGCCAACATCATAACAGACAAAGAAAAATTCAAAGCATTTCCACTAAAATTAGAACAAGACACAGTCCCTTCATTCCTGTTCAATATAGTGCTTGAAGTCTTAGCTAGAGGGATAAGACAATGAAGGAGGTGAAGGGGCACAGAGAGGAAAGGAAGTCAAAGTATCCTTATTTGTAGATGGCATGGTTTTAGACTTAAAAGACCCTAAATAATCCACCAGAAAACTCCTAAAGCTGATGAAGAAATTCAGCAAAGTAGCAGAATACAAAATTAGCACACAAAAATCAGTAGCCTTCCTGCATAACAAGCATACTATGAAAAATAGCAGGAAAGCAATCTCATTCACAATAATCTAAAAAACTACCTTGGAATATATCTAATTAAGGAGGTGAAAGATTTGTACAATAAAAACTTTAAGACATTGAGGAAAGTAATTGAAAAAGATACCAAAAGATGGAAAGATTTTCCTTGCTTAATGATTGGTAGGACTAATATTGTAAAAATGGCCATCCTACCAAAAGCAATTTACAGATCTATTGCAAATCTCATCAAGATTCCAGTGCAATTCTTCAGAAATTGAAGAAATAATCCTAAATTTCATATGGAAATTGAAAAAAAAATCCTAACCCAAACAATCCTGAACAATAAATGAATAGTTGGAGGTATCATCATCCCTGGTTTAAATTATAATACAGAGCTATACCAATTAAAACATCATGGTACTGGCATAAAATAGATACACTGATCAATGGAATAGAATTGAGGACCTGAATTTAAGTCCATGTACTTACAGTCACCTGATTCTTGACAAAGGGACCAAAAATACATGTTGGAGAAAAGACAGTATCTTCAACAAATGATGATCAAACTGAAACATGTAGAAGAATGAAATTAGTTTCCTGTCTCTCACTATGCACAAAATTGAACTCCAAATGGATCAAGGGCCTCAATGTAAGACTTGATACCCTGAATCTGACAGAGGAGAAAATAGAAAATACACTTGAACTTAGAGACACAGGAAAGGACTTTCTGAACAGGACCCTGTGTAGGCATTAAGACCAATAATTGAGAAACAGAACTTCATGAAATTAAAGTCTTCTGCACAACAAAGGACACCATCATTTGAGTGAAGAGATAGCCTACAGAATGAGAAAAATCTTTACCAACTATATATCTGACAGGGGGTTAGTATCTAGAATATACAAGTAACTCAAAAAAAAGTAAACATCAGGGCTGGAGAGATGGCTCAGCGATTAAGAACACTAGTTGTTCTTGTAAAAGACCCAGTTAGAATCCCAGCACCCACATGGCAGCTAACAACTGTCCGTAACTCCAGTCCCAGGGGATCTGACAGCCTCTTCTGACCTCTGTAGGCATTGCATGACACAGGTACACTTACCTACAGGCGGGCAATACACGCATACACATAAAATAAAAATAATAATAAAATCAGGAAAATAACTTGATTAAAAATTGGAGCAAGGAACTAGTGAGTTCCCAAAAGATAAAATGCAAACAGCTGAGAACTATTTTTTAAATGTTCACCATTCTTAATCATCAGGGATATGAAAATTAAAAGTACTTTCCAATTTCATCTTACCCCAGTCAGAATGACTAAGATTAAAACAAAACCCAAAATAACAAATGACGGGGCTGGAGAGATGGCTCAGCAGTTAAGAGTACTGACTGCTCTTGCAGAGGGATTCCCAGCACCCACATGGACAGCTATGTACTGTCTTTAATTCCAGTTTCAAGGGAAACCAATACCCTCTTTTGGCCTCTGCACCATTGAATGACATGGTGCACTCACATACATGCAGGCGATACACTCATACACATAAAAACAACAAAACAAACCCCAAATGACAACAAATGCCGGGGTGGATGTGAGGAAAAGAGAGCACTTATCCATGTCCTATGAAAGTCCAAACCTGTGCAGCTGCTGTGGAAATCAACATGGAGTCTCCTCAAAAAGCTAGAAATAGATCTACTACATGATCCAGCTGTACCACTTCTGGGCATATATCCAAAGGACTCTATATTCTACTATAGAGATAGTTATTTATCCATGTTTATTGCTGTTCTAGTCACAAGAGCCAGAAAATGGAAACAACCTAGATGCCCATCAGCTGATGAATGGATAATGAAGATGATACAGGGGAGAAAGAGCATCCCCCAGACGTTCATAAAAGAATTTAAGAATGGACTCAAACAGAAGCTTTAGGACAATTTTATTAAGATTTAAATAGAAATACTCAGGGCACAGACAAGCTGTGCATCTCAGCAGCTGCCTCGAGGAGGAGAATGGTGGGGAGAAGGGGAAAAAATCATGAAGCCACGCAGGTTTAGAGCCTTCATGGAGGTTAGACACATGGGGACTAGTAGCCCCAAGGCAGGGAGAAGGAAGCTTTAGAAAAAATGTAAAGAAATACAAGGTGCTGGGGCAGCCCAAAACGTTAAAGAAAGCATGCTTAGAAAAGGGATATGAAGAAAGAAAAGAGAGAAATTATGCTTTTTTGAAGAATGGAGCCTCGTCAGTGGCCCAGGTCCAGAAGCACTGCACTAGGAGGTGGGATTCCAGATGGAAAACATTCACTGTCTTATTAAGGCACAAGTATTCCACCCATCTATTTAGCATGACTTAAGGTAAACCCACCTTCCTAGGGGTGGTTCTATGACCAGGTGATTGACCAGCGAAACTGGAAAGGTGGGTCTTCCAACAGATAGACTAGAGATTTATTTTTTGACCAGTCAATCTTATGGGGCTTTTTGCTACTCTAACAAAAATATGGTATACTTGCATAACAGAATATTATTCAGCTGTTAAGAAAAATGAAATTATAGAATTCACAAGTAAATGGATGGAACTGGTAACAATCATCCAGAGTGAGGTAACCCAGACCCAGAAAGACAAATGTCATGTTTTCTCTCATATGTGGTTACTAGTTTGAATTTTTAGATATGTGTTTTATTTGGAATATGCATAGAGGTCAAGAAACTAGTAAGGGTCCATGGGGAGCTTTCAACAGAGGGGAGATAGAATGTAGTGATATGAAGGGGAAAAGGAGAATAATGGAGCAGGAAGGGTTAAATGGGGTGGGGAACGAAAGGACAGGGTAGAGGAAGGAGTATGGGGAGGGATAGCTAATGCTAAAGCCTTTTGAAAAAGACATAGACACCTACTACCATGGAAGCATCCTAAAATATATACATATACGTATATAAAGAATTTAAATGGAGTTACCTTATAAAACAGGAACAATGCCCCTACTAGACACCATAGGTTAGCAAATAAAAAGCCCAGTGCCAGGAATGGGTTACCTCTTTTGGAATTGTTGGCCAGTGGAGTGCCATAGACCCTCAAATAATACTGGGTATTGGCACTGCTCTTGGTTACCCTCCAGAACTTGACAGGAAGACCCTACTGCTGAAGATACTACAAGCTTAAGCCCTAGAACATGGAGAAATCCATCTGGTACTGACCTCAAGGCTTCATCCCTACTGGCTAGCTTTTATAGTGCTTGAAGGTGCTATGCATGCTGTTAGAGGAGAAAAGTAATCATCAATTTTATCATGCTGTGAACCCTGAAAGCTGTAACAATGATTGACCTTGCAAGATATGCAAGGAGTTGTTTACTTCCTGAGCTTAATGAGTTTCCCTGAAGGATGGAATGTTACACCTCTCTTCAAAACATGCTGTGGTGGTTTGTGTAAGAATGTTCTCCACAGGCTCCAAGTATTTGGACATTTTGCCCCCAGTTGGTGATGCTGTTTTGGGAGGTGTTAGAAGGCACACCTTGCTGGAGGAAGCATGTCACTTTAGAGAGTTCTTAAGCCTTGCTGGATTTCCAGTCACTCTCTGCTTCTTGTGCTTGCTTGAAGATGTGCACCTCTGCTTTCTGCTCCTACTCCAGCCACCTCCTGCCACCATGCTTCCCTGCCACGATGAACTCTGATACTTCTGGAACTGTAAGCTCAAATAAACTCTTCCTTCTATAAATTCCCTTGGTCCAGTGTTTTATCACAGCAACAGAAAAGTAACTAATACACCTCCCTTTAGAACATCATGTTGTTTCCCTCTCTTTAGATGTTTTTTTGTTGACCTTCCTTTAGAACACTGTTGCTTACCCAGCTTCTCTCCAAGATGGAAGATTTTATCTTGGAGGAATTGGTACTCAATAAACCCTCAAACTCTAAGCCAAAATAAAGCCTTCCTCCCTCAAGTTGCTTCTTCTCTGGTAGTTTGTCACAGCAATGATAAAAGTATCTCAGTTCTTAGACATTAAGTCATGTTCATTTATTTTTTTCCTTATTGATATTTGAGGGTATTATTTCCTTATGCTTTATCTTTTCATCCCTGATATCCATTCTCCTGCATGGTCAAGTGTTCTGGTGGTACTCTCCACTGCATTTTTTATTTGGTTCACTAAGTTTCTCATTTTCAAATTTTCTCTTTTTTTCCTCAAAATCTCAATTTCTTTATTGAATTTTTCTGCCACGTTGGTGATTTTTTTTATCCATACTGCATATTTTTTCATCCATTTTTTTGACTCTTATCTTGCTGACTTTTGTCCAAAGGTCTTAGCGCTGTTGTCAATTGATAGCTTCTAGGAAAAGGAGAGTTAGTTTAAAGAAG